CTGTCATTTACAGAATTCTGGAATTATTCGATAATCAATTATTTACTGTTATAACCAATTATTTTTTATAATACAATTACAACCGGCAACTAGCTTCGTTATTCGGTTGCTGTTGATTGATTATGAAATAACGAAAATTCGGATGAATGAGAGTTACATTTAAAACTTGTTTTATATTTTATAAATCAAGACTATTTAGATCATTATTAAATTAAATAATAAATAATAATAGGAAAAAATATCTTTAACAATAAATTGTCTAATGCAATTAAGTTTTAGAATTGTGCAAGTATGCACTTAACTTCTTTTAAAAATTTTAAGCATGCATTTGGATTAAACAACCTTGGAATTTGCTCTGCATTGTTGGACAAAGTTAAAAATTGATTCTGAACAAACGGCTGTGTTGTATAGGCTTTTAAAGTAAATATTTAGTACAGTTTTGTAATAAAATTTGTTTGAATTTTATCGCTCAAAATGCCATCAAAATACTGTTTTGGATGCAATATGAACAATTAGATGACAATTTAAGAAATAAATTAATTGATGAACAACAATGATAAAAACATAAACTTGTGCTTTTTTACAAAAAATGATAATAGTTATCGTATTCCATAAAATTTCAATTCTAACATAACATGAAAATCCCAATTATTTTTTAAATATCTAAATTTGTGGGTTCCTTGCATCCAGATTATGATTTAAAAACTAACATTACACCAGGGACTTTTTTTTCTTCCAATTTTTCTCTTAACTAAACACTCGGTAACCTTGTATAGCTTTCTTTAATTGCATAATTTTATATACACTGTAAAAAACTCCAGATCAAATTACGGTAAAATAAATAAATAAATAAATAAATTGGCACCCTGGGTGCAGCTTCCGTAAAATCCACATTTTCTGTCAAATTTTATATCGTAATTTTTACAGTATTATTTATTTCATTACTGTGATTCAGTGATTTAACAGTAAAGACTACTGAAAAAATTACGATATATCAGATTTTTTTTGTTTTACGGAAAAAGGCAGCCTGAGTGCCGGTACTTTTTACCGTATTTTGATTCCTTATTTTTAACAATGTGGATGCTTATTCATCTTGGATTAATACAAATCTTTTCAGAGATTGCATTTTTTCATACAGTTTTTGCATGAAATTGATTAACCTTCATCCACTATTATATGAATATCACTGAAAATTGACTGTCTTTTTGCAAAAAATAAACGAACTGTGCAGAAAAAGAATAATCCAGTAAAATTTCAAGAAGGATGGTAAAATTTTTAAAACATATTTACAAAAAAATACTCCAATTTTGACAATAAATTTTTTTCCAGATTCTGAAAATTAGGTTAATTGACTAGATGGATGAGAAAAAGGTATAACATAAAGGAAAGACAATTAAGCTTAGTAATATTCATTTAATGTATTCACAAAGTTGCAAAAACATTCTATTTAGAGGTATGTTGATAAATTCTTATCGTTTAAAACTAACTTCCGAATATTAAGCCTTGCCTTAATTCTTTATCTTCCCCTCATTTGTTTATCACACTCCATAGTTGGGCTGATAATTGAAGTTTTACAGTGTGTTTTATTTAGTAAAGATGTTAATTTTCAGCGATATTATCTGATTTGCAAAGTAACATTTGTATACTACTAAAATTTCCTTTTGTAAAAATGGGGTATCGTCACCAATAGCTCATTAGTGTAGCTTTGATGGGATGATAACTACTAAAACCAACCAAAAAATAGGGTATAATTTCAATTTAAAAAAAGCAAAAGCTACTAATACAATACTAGTAATAGTAAATGATTTGAAGTCAAACATCGAATGAAAAAACTCCCCAATATCAAATATAATACATAATGCATTTTTTTTCTTCTCATAGACTACTATAACTAAACAAATAATATATATATATCAGAACGGTTGAAATTTTTTCAATAAAATAAAAATCTGATGAAAAGAAATACTGTTTAACTCTGCAGATATTTTTAAACTTATTAATTAATTATAATTTAATGAATGCTGATCCACACAGTCTGAATAATCTTTGAACAGGTTGTTAATTAAATTTTATATATTATCTCTACATGCAATACTTGATCAATAATGAAGTGAATAAAAAATTTTAATAGCGACATTAACCAACTGATGTTCGCATTCTTTCAAAAACTTTTCTAAATGATACTTTTATGTTATAAATTAAAAGGTCTAAAAAATTTTCCAACAAATGTTCCGATAACATATAATACTGATCGCTTCAGTTTTTTTGTTTTTTTTTGTTTAAAATACAAAATACAAATCATTCAATTTTATGCGGAATCATAATCATTCCTCAACAAAAATATAGAGTATTAAATTCCAATATATAAAATATTTAGAGCACTCGATTAGCACTCATTTTTTTTTTTCGTTTCTGAATAAATAAAAAAAATCCAAACGTTGCAACAACAACAAAAGAATGAATTGTCCATAAATATGTTTCCCAGAGAGAGAGAGCGTTGGGTGTCGTCCTAGCTGCCATTATGACAGGCAGCCAAAGTGTCTGTGGTGAGTGACAGCGTGGTCAGGACACTCCTGCGGTTGGGATTGACTCCTAAATTTTCCCAATTAATCCAGGATAATCGAGCAGTCAAATCTAGAGAAAACAAAATAACAATCAGCATACAGCAATTCAGTCGTCAAAAACTAAATAATAATTAGCATGCAGTCAAAAACGAAATTGCAATTTTACAAAGTATCGCATTATTCGATTCATTAAGTATTATTCGATCGTCTAAAATAGAGACTCCCAAATTTTTTTTCGGCTGTGAAATCCTAAACGATCAATCCTCTTTCCGCGGAATCCCGAGACTTATTATATTCATATTAAAAATTTGGAATATTATTTTTAAACATATTCAAAATTTGGAATATTGGCGAAATTTTTGTATTATCTATATTAGTTTTAAAATTGGATTTTATGTCAGTCAGTTGAATTCCCAGGTCTGGAGCTGCTTCTAATCTAATTCTTAATGCGATTTTAATACATACACGAATTAAAAATACGGTTTCCTTTAAAATAAGAACGAAAAAGAAAGAAAATAAACGTTGAAAATCTGAGAAATACACTTCTTCATCGTTGAATTTGGTTATTTTTATTCGATGCAAAATACTAATGAAATTTTTCATAAATGCGTATCCTTTTCAGGATTTATACATTATATTGTTATTGGAAAAAGCTTTGTTTTGAAATTTCTCAGTATTTTAATGAAATGTATTTCATAAAAGTAACGAAAATATTAAATAAATATTTGATTAGTATATGGATATAAATTTAATGACAGGTTTTGAAAATTATTGCTGATGACAAAATATTCTTAGCTTTTAGAACCACTGTGACCCTCCCCTGGAACCTTATATTTCCGCCATTTCGGAACCCCTGGTCTGAAACGAAATATGTAATAATCAGCAATTATTCGATAGTCAAAAGTTTATTTATTTTAATTGTGTTGGAGAGAGGTACTAAAAGGAAAGGATTCAAATTTCGACACCTTTTCTCCCCACATTTCTTGCCAACTGTTGAGGATTTATAATACCAGATGGCGCTGAGCGCAAACAATTTTTTATTATTTTTTCTTCACTTCTTAAGTTTCAGTTTGGATTCAACCCACTGAACCACAATGGAATAAAAGAATTTGAATCATTACAATTTGTGTAATTATTGTTGAATTCGAGTTATGGTGCTACACCGGCCGAAAAATTGGCCACCTGCATGAAATGTAAGTTAACATTTGTTTTGTTTTGGTCTCCCTTAAGTCGGTCTTTTATTTTGATATTTTATTGTATTAATTGTATTGTATTTATTATAGTAACGTGCGAGCTGTTTATAATGGATGATTTTGAAAAATTAAAGTCCAAAAGAGCTGTAATCAGACAGCTGATTACAAAATTAATAAATAAAATTGACAAATTGTTATTAGAAATACTTCCTGATGATACTTTGTATGATTATCTAAATCAGTTAAATGAAAAAAACGAAGCTTTAAAGGCTCTTGATTTGAAAATTGAAAAATATTTTGAAAACAGCGAGGAATTTGAAAGTGAAATTATACAAAGTCAAGAGTATCAAGATCGAGTAGTGGCTTATAAAAGCAAAATCGAAAGATATTTACTAAAATGCCAGACTACAGGACAGGAAGTAACGGTTAATAGTGGTAACAATAATTTACAAAAAAAAAATAACTTATGGAAATATCTCGCACGTTGCTAACGTTAAATTACCTAAATCGGAGATAAACAAATTTTTTGGTGATGCCTGTGAGTGGCACAGTGTTGGAATAGCTATAACATAGCCATACATAGTAATGAGAGTCTTAAAAAAATTGATAAATTTAATTATCTTAATATGTATTTAGGGGGAGTTTTGCTTTGAGTGCAATTTCTGGATTCTCATTAACTGAAAGTAATTATGATTCTTCAATTAAGTTGCTAACCGAAAGATTTGGTAGGCAAGATTTAATTATTAGTAGTCATATGAATAAACTTTTATCAATTAATTCTGTAAGAAATTCATATGATATTAAAGCTCTACGGAAAGTTCTATGACGAATGTGAAATCCACATTCGCAGTTAGCAATCAATGAATGTTACAAAAGGTAGTTATGGTAATTTACTCTGTCCTGTTATTTTACAAAAGCTACCAGAGGATTTAAATTTAGATTATAATAAAAATAGAAAATCAAGTGTAGATTTTGACATTGATGAACTAATTTCATTTATTAGAAAAGAGGTAGAATGTAGAGAAGCTTCACATGTGTTGTCTAATAGTTCTAAAAAACAAAGTGTTCATTTTGAAACACAGCAACGGTCGGAGAGCCATAGTAAACATAATTATAATCGAAAGTTCTCTTCTTCCTCAGCATTAGTTTCGGCATCTAACAACATATTTTGGTTGTTTTGTAATTCCAAAAATCACGAATCGAAAGATTGTTCTCTGACCATCGAAGAAAAAAAAAACAAATGCTAAAAGATCAATTTCGCTGTTTCCGGTGCTTAAAGAAATATCACACATCCAAAAAATGTTGGAATAAATGTATTTGCACATTATGTAAGAAACCGCATAGCGAATTAATTTGTGATAAATCAGCAATAAATAATGAGTCGAAAGAGAAAAACGATACTTTGGCATCCGTTACCGCTTCATGTGTTTCGAAACGAAAACAAAATGAAATGATCTATTTACAGACTTCTTTAGCGTATTTGATTTATGGTAATGTAAAGAAGTTGGTTAGAATTTTATTTGACTCTGGTAGCCATCGCAGTTTTTTGAAACGGGATATTTGTAATGAGTTGAACCTCAGGACCATTAAAACTGAACGGTTGCATGTTTTCGGTTTTGGAGAAAAAATTTCCAAGGGGTGTTCTTATGATTTAGTGAAAGTGAATCTTCAGAACAAAAACGATAAAAAATTAAATGTTTGCATTGAAGCATTTGTAGTAGAAAAAATAACGTGTGGGAAAATAGCCGCACCCCATGAGAAAATTAAACAATTAGCAAGGAAAAATAATATTTTTCTTTCGGATACCGGAGAAATTGCTGATATAGACATTTTGATCGGCGCCGATTTCCTACATGACGTAATCTTTGATACGTCTTTGAGGCTGGGAAAAGGGCTCGTTGCAACCGATAGTTTATTTGGTTTTGTGGTTCAAGGGAGATTCATGAATAATTGCCAATTAAGTAGGATTGTAAACAATACTATAATATCTGATGTTGATTATTCTTTGTTTTGGAACCTTGAAGGATTAGGAATAAATACTATGAACGAAGAAAATGTTGATAATAAAAGTGAATTGTTAAAAGGTTTTAATTCTGATTTGCATTTTGAAAATAATAGGTATAGTGTACGACTTCTCTGGAGACCAAATACAAAACATTTGTTAAATGATAACTTTGAGCTGGCTTCAGAGAGGTTTGACAAATTAAAGAGGAGATTTAAGAATGATAAATCCTTGTTTGAAGAATATAAAAAAGTTATAAAAACTTACGAAAATGAAGGGATAATTGAGAAAGTTAAAAACACTGATCCCCAAAATTATAAACAATGTTATTTACCTCATAGGGCGGTTATAAGAAACGATAAACTAACTAGCAAATTAAGGATTGTATTTGACGGTTCCGCGCATAAGAAAAATGAATTGTCTCTTAACGATTGTTTGTATATTGGGCCAAATTTATACCCAGATATATATGAACTTATGCTAGCGTTTCGGGAAAACAAGATTGCTTTTATAGGGGACGTTCAACAAGCTTTCTTACAAATAGGGATTAATGTAGAAGATCGAGATGTCACAAGATTTCTTTGGTCAGATGACCCCGATAATGATTCGTCTACAGTAATTTATAGATTTTGCCGCGTACTATTTGGTATCAACTGTAGCCCTTTTCTCTTAGCGGCTACTATTAAAGAGCATATTAAAAAGTTTGCAAAATCAAAGCCTCTTGCGTATGAATTACTAAATGAAAGGGTATATGTCGATGACGTCATAGGGGGAAGTGACAGTACAGATACAGCATTTCAAATAAGTTCTGATTGTGTTGAAATATTTCGGGATGCGGGCATGGTATTGAGAAAGTTTCAAACAAATGATAAAAAATTACGTGAATTATGGAAGAATGCAGGTATAGATGTTCAGAATGAAAAGGAATCGTTAGGTCAATCAGGCTTTCCATTTAAAGTTTTGGGAGTTTGTTGGGATCCTGAAAAAGATGTATTTTACTTTGAGTCCAAATATCTGTTAAAATTGATAGACACAGGGCAAATAACAAAACGATTTATTTTGAAAATCATTGGGCGTATTTTTGATCCAGTAGGATTTTTGGGACCCTTTACAATGCTTCTAAAATCTCTAGTTCAAAGCATTTGGAAAAGCGGATTGGAGTGGGATCAAGAGCTACCCTTAGATATGGAAAATCAGTGGCGCGAAATATGTAAACAATTCGGTGAACTTAATGATTTGAAAATACCGCGTTATTATTTTTTCGAAGCAGGTAACAAAGAAATTATAAGTTCACAGTTACATATCTTCTCTGACGCCAGCTTAAAGGGTTATGGTACAGTTGCCTATATCAGATCAGAAACTAGTGATGGGCATATTTCTACATGTTTTGTTTCAGCTAAAAGTAGAATTGCGCCCCTCAAAATGATTACATTACCACGACTTGAGCTACTAGGTGCCCTCCTCTCTGCTAGATTATTTCGAACTATTACTAGAGCCATAAAAATTCCGTGTGACAGTTTCTTTTGGTGCGATTCCTCTATTGTGTGTTGTTGGATAAAAACTCCTGCCATTCGTTTTAAACAATTTGTGCGTAACCGATTGGAAGAAATTCAAGAGATTACTCAACCTAAGGACTGGTTCCACTGCCCCGGAATTGACAATCCTGCCGATCTTATTAGTAGAGGTGCTTCCATGAGTATATTGAAGAATTCCGACATTTGGTGGAAGGGGCCACCTTGGTTGTCCCTTCCGACCGAAATGTGGCCAGAATTGAAACTCTTCAAAGAAAATGATGAACAAATTGAGTATCGTAAAAATGAAATCACCGTTATGAAATGTGTAGATGGTGAAGAACTTGAGTTGATAAATATCGCTAACTTTAGCAACCTCGAAAAAGTTGTTAGAATCATAGCGTGGGTAGTGCGATATTTGAACTGTTTAAAGAAAGTTAAGCCGAATATGGACACTTTGACTGCAGAAGAGCTCCGAAATTCTGAAGATATACTAGTAAAGCTTACTCAAGCAAAATTCTTTGAAAGTGAGATACGAGCTCTCCAATCTAGTTTGCCTATTCCAGCTTCTTCTACTATTTTCAATTTAGCTCCTTATCTTGATGAAAAAGGTATCCTGAGAATCACAGGAAGATTGGACGAAGGAGATTATTCTTTTGATGAGAAAAAGCCTATAATCATACCAAGACAGTCTAAATTTGCAGAGTTGCTTGTCAAGCGAGAACACGAAAATGTATTTCATTCTGGAGTAGAGAGCACTCTAGTACAAATTCGGAGAAGATTTTGGGTGCCTAAAGGAAGACAATTAGTAAAAAAGGTTGTCTCGAAATGTTTGATTTGTCGCAGATACACAGCCAAGCCTTCTACCCAAATGACTGGACAGCTTCCAAAAGATCGAATTAGTGAAACTCCTGCTTTTACCGTATGCGGAATTGATTTTGCCGGACCAATCTACATCAAGGGTGAAAATGGAATAAAGAAATCATATATAGCCTTGTTCACATGCGCAGTCACGAGAGCAATACATCTTGAATTAGTCTCAGACATGTCTACTTCAACTTTTCTGCTCGCATTCAGAAGATTTCTCTCTAGAAGAGGTGGTTGTCATACAATCTACTCCGACAACGCCAAGACTTTTAAATGTACTGATAAAGAGCTTCAGAGATTATTTGATATTTTGGAAAATTCCGAATTCAAAAACTTTCTTGCTGCTAAAAGAATATCCTGGAAATTCATCGTCCAACTTGCCCCTTGGTGGGGAGGATTTTATGAAAGATTGGTAAAAAGTGTCAAAGAGCCTCTAAAGAAAATACTTCGAAAAGCTCTCTTAAATTTTGAAGAGATGACCACTATATTGACTGAAATCGAAACCATCGTTAATCTTCGACCCTTGTCCTACGTCACTAACGAAATTGGTGAACCGGAAATTCTTACCCCATCACAATTTTTAACCCCTGGTAAAGAAAAGGCAGAGTATCCAGCCCATTTCATAGAAACCATCCATAGAGAATCCACCAAAAAGATTCTTATAAAAAGAAAAGAATACCAAGCTACATTATTGGCTAATTTATGGAAGCGCTGGAAGGAGCGCTATTTGTTTAATTTGAGATCTGCACACAACTTTACTTCTCCTAACCTAACAAAATGTTTGAAAGTGGGAGATGTGGTTTTGATGGAGGGCACCACAAAATCAAAACTATTATGGGACATAGGTATTATAACAAAAGTATTTCAAGGGCGTGATGGACTTGTAAGATCTTGCCTTATTCGCAAATCCAAAGGCGAATATAAACGCCCGGTACAACTTATTTATCCTTTAGAACTCAATGACTAAAACTTTAATAGTTTATGTTTTTTTAAAATTTTCTTTCAAGTGAATATTTGCATCTCATTTCAAATTTATTTGCATTTAAATGTTATTTTTTTAATATTTTATGTTATTTTTGTCTAATTTTTATGTTTAAAATTTTAGTGAACTCAGAGGAGTTCAAGTGGGGAGTGTTGAGGATTTATAATACCAGATGGCGCTGAGCGCAAACAATTTTTTTATTATTTTTTCTTTACTTCTTAAGTTTCAGTTTGGATTCAACCCACTGAACCACAATGGAATAAAAGAATTTGAATCATTACAATTAGTGTAATTATTGTTGAATTCGAGTTATCAACTGTACTTCGACATAAAAGACGTATGTCCAAAATATTCACTGCCCTACAAAATTACAATTTCACTGCAAAAAATATATGTTAATAATTTCTCCGAATATTTATCGGTTTGAAGCCGTTTTGTTCTCAAAACGGGTCTTTTTCCATTTTTAACCCTTAACTCAAACAGATTAAAACCGTCAATTGAAATTCTAGTTTTTGTTATGTAGTTTTTGCGTTCCGTAACTTTTACATTTTCTCCAATCATTTTACGAATATTTTTTATACTTGATCTTACTTTTTAGCAATTTACTTTATAGTTTTGAACATCGTATTATATAAAACTGCAATTCGACTTTATTTTCAAATGGATACATATGTGACAATGGATACAATTGGGAATCGCAATTTTCAAATTGATACAATTATTTTCAAATTGATATTGTGATCGGGAGAATTTCGCTACAATTCTCCCTATCACAATTTCTTCATAATAAATCGTTGGAGTAGCAGTGCCTCGGACGACAGAGCCTTTCAATGAAGTGAACCAGGTTCGAATCCCAACGATGACTGGTTAATACAAATTCAGCCGACTTAAGATATTCACATCTAGTGACTTACTTCGTAACTTTCAGAGTTAAAACTTGTTCCCATATCATAAAAGTCTGTTAAGGTAACAGATTTATTTTTATTGGAAAATATCGTTTTGTTGCAGTAAAAATCCAGTCTGATTACAGATTTTCTTCGCAATTTTTAACGTAAAAAACTTAATCTTGTATGGCAAAAAAAAATCGCTGAGGCTACGGATTTACTTCGTAAATTTTACGGTTTCGCACAACCAACCCAGCTGCCGGTTTAAAATCGTAAATCTTAAGTTTTTTTTTTTTTTTTAAGTTTTTTTTACAGTGTGTAATTATTGGTTCATAGGTTTTCTTCTGCTCTTCATCTATCGACCTTAACTATTTTTTATATTTTATTTTATAACCGTTGTTGAACAGCATACCCAATTCTATGGGTTTACGACTACTAATGTTCAACTCCGTAGCCTTATCATTTTGAACCCAATCCAGAAGACAAGGGAACTCCTGGATCGAGTATTGGGAGAAATTTGCCTTCGTGGAGGACTTTTTGATAGAGCTAACCCACATTTGCGTTGCATGGAGAGGAAGACCACGAGAAACTCCCAAGGTTAGTCTGACGGCAAGGGGACACTAACCCATGATCCGTCTACCACTGAGGATATTTCACGTCGGCACTGTGATTGGTGCAAGCCGGATGCGGAATTCGATTCGACCCGGTTCGCAGCATTGGAAGACGAACGCTCTATCCCCTGAGCCATATCGGCCTAAAAAAATTATTTATTTAATGGTCCCATTCTTTCCAATCCTCAACATTTCCAGCAAGAACTTTGTTAACTACGGCCTGGATAAATGGGTTATTCTTCTTTCGTCTTTGGTTGCTGCACCACCTTTGTAGATAATCTGCTGTTCTGTTTTTGGTGTCCAAGGCTGGAGAGCTTATTAAAGTATTTAGTTAGGAGGTAATTTCTTCTGAGACCTAAAGGCTGTAGGTCGGCCTCAAACAAGACAATGTCATTTGGGCAACTGTTTCTGAGTCCAGTGATGATGCGAGCAGCAGAAAGCCGGACTCGCTCAAGACGTTGAAGGTTTGAAGCAGATGCACAACTATAGACTGGTGCTCCATATTCCAGGATTGGCCTGATGAGAGCAAGATATGTGGCTCTTAAGGTGGTAACGTGAGCGCCCCAATCTCGCCCAGCAATATACTTTAAGATTTTAAGTCTCTTCCTACTTTTCAACACTAAGTTGTTGATATGCTTATTGTTGGTGAGTTCAGGATCTAGAATGAAGCCCAAGTAACTGGGGTGTTTTTCAACAAATAGAGTTTGGACATACAGAAGGATATAGGGTTGAAATCTGTAGAGTCGTTTGTTAGTAGTGAAGAAACTAACAGAAGATTTTGAATGATTAAAGGTCAATTTGTTACACTTTGCAAACTCTTGAATTTCCATTAAAGTTAGATTAAGGTTATTTTCGATATTGCTGACATCTGAATCAGAGCACCATAAGACAATGTCGTCAGCGAATAGTCCTACTTTACATCGCTTAGAAATGACCCTCTCAGTGCCGTCCAGAAACAAAGAAAACAAAGTTGGACTCGGGACGGATCCTTGGGGAAGTCCTTGCTGCTGTGTAAAGGTGTCAGATAAAACATTGTTGAACTTAGCGTTAAAAAGTCTGTATTTCAAGAAATCATTAATCCACGGCAAGGCAAATCCATCAATTTTGAAGAAAGTAAAGAGTTTGACAATAAGTTTTTATTTCCGAACTCTGTCAAATGCCTGAGTCAAGTCCAAAAAGGCAGCTGCAGTATGTTTAGTGGGCAGGTGATTGTGGGCATCACGTATTTGCTGTCCAAAGAATAGTACTTGATCAGTAGTACTGTGTCCTGTCCTAAAGCCGTATTGTTCCTTCGGAAGTAAGTTATGACTATCAAGAAAAAAGATGAGTCAATTTAAAATCATCCTTTCCATAATCTTGCAAGCAGTGCTGGTGAGTGCGATTGGCCTATAACTATCGGGAGAGCTGGCTTCTTTGTTGAGTTTTCTGATCGGAATGATGATTGCTCTTTTCCACTCATTGGGAAGGCGACCTAGACGACAGGATTGATTTATGATGTCTAGGAATCTACTCAAAAACTTCTTACCCAGATGTTTTAGCATTTGCCCATGGATGCCGTCCGGTCCCGGGGACTTATTAAGATTTGCTTCATTCATTGCACACACCAATTCGTGCAAATTAAAGTTACTTGTGAAGATTGTGTTTCTTGTTGAAGAGGTGCGACAGCCATGTAAAACGTTTTTGGCCTTATTTTTTACCTTTGAATCCTCCTTGGAAAAATTCAAGGTGCTTGCATCCTGATAAAATAAACCTAATAGGTTAGCAGCCGATTTGTCGTCTTGTGCAAGATTACCATTTTCGTCAACAATGTTGTTACATTTTTCGCGTTGCTGTTGTTCCTTATTGAGGTTCTTAACAATTTTCGAAAGTTTAGTGTCGGGTGATCTTGAGTCGAGCTTGGAGCAAAGTTCTAACCATTTCAATCTATTGTTTTCAGCGTAAGATCTTCTGATGTCTGCATTGACCCTGTTTAGCTCAATTCTAGAATGAACATTAGTAGAGTTGGTTAGCTCTGTGATCAGTTGATTCCTCTTGTCCAACAGCGGCTTTAACTGAGTGGAATTATGATTGAAAAATGGAATATAATTCTTCACGTTACCTCTTGGAATTGTCCTACGAGCTGTCTGTAATATGGCATATTTGAAAGATTTCCAACTGCAATTTATATCCTCTTCAAGTGGTGTGGTTATTTCATTATCTAACTTTGTAGTGAAACTGCTCCAATCAGCTTTTTTGAAATTCCAATACCTTCTGCTTGTTTTTTGTAGTCATTGACGCTTGCAGAATTTAATCAGAATAGGTAGGGAGTCGCTAGCAATGTTCTCCAACACTGACCATTTGCAGCAGGAGAAATATCAGGAGTAACTAAGGCGATATCAAGTGCCTCGGAAGACTTTTAACTGTAAGAGAAGTGCGTTGCGGCGCCATCATTGAGTAAAGTAAAGCCGTTATCAACCAGTAAGTTTAGGAAGTCATTACCTCTCTGATTTTGATCTGAGCAACCCCAAATTGGGTGCTTTGCGCTAAGGTCCCCAATAGAAATAGTGTTATCAACAAAGCCATCGCAAAAATTAGTTGGAATCTCTTTGCTATTTGGTAGATGATGAAGATTGATAATGTTAAGCAACTTACCTCTCCAAGCCACCTGGATTCCCCGTGTCTCAAGGTCAGAATTTGATCCCAATGAGCTATTGATGTCTAAGCTCCTATAGATAATGTCTCTGATGAGAAACGTAAGGGAGCCTCCATTACCTTGTCTATCACAACGGGAGATGTTATATCCCTTTACTTTAAGTGACACATTGTTATTTAATTTGGTTTCTTGGAGGGCAACAATCTGTACCCCATGGGTGTTTTCAAGTTCCAACACCTGATCTAGTTTGACTCTTGAGGCTGCGGTTGAGATCCCATTGATGTTACATTGAAGGATTTTCAGAGTTCCATTAGAAGTACTTGAGGAAGGTAGTATATTTTTCGAGCGTGGTCCGCTTCCAAAGCCACGATCCAAACGCGATCCTTTTTATCCTGCGCGGCGATCTAGGCAGTATGAGAGTTAGAACAAGACATGAAATTCATGGTTGGGGAAATAATGCAGCTTCTGAAGTCCTATGACTGGAGCACCATGCTGGTAGAAGTCTGACTTGGCTCCTTCGCCTGTTGACTTTAGCTGAGTGTAATGGAACGGCCTTCTCGCCATGGGTGACCCTTCCAGGAGTAAAACTCCAGACGTACATCGCCAGTACCTCTCAGTGTCACCCCCTCGCCATGATGAGGCTTTAGGTACTAATTGACGAAAGTGGAGTAAATGCTTCGATTTCATCCATGTTACGGTCGTTATTAAATTATAAATATTTATCACTAAATTATAAATACTTTGGTCACGATTGTTCGAAACGTTTTCTTTTTATAGATAAATTTGAGCATTTATTGACGAGAACGATTCGATTGTGATCGCATTCGAGTTTTAGTCATTTTGGAAACTTTAATATTT